ATAATTGATATTTAATATCGCAGCATACATTGACCTTCTCCTCTTAGTCATTCTACACTTTTATTTACATTCGAGTGTAAGAATGCAGAACGTTACCCCGTCGATGATGTACAAGATGAAATATCGCCTCGTGTAATTAACACTTGTGACAAGGAAAAGCTTAATTGCAAGCGTTACAAAGTGCGAAATGTTATGTAACTCGAGCATCAACTCTTGTCTCAGCGATACGTGTAGTAGGATACTCGTACGGGAAAAAAATAGTCCTTAAATCAATGATAGATGTTCTCATATATAAACGAGAATATTATAATATTCTTAGATGTTTAATTGAATTGAATACAAGTATTTGCATCGATGCAAATTTAATGAAATCAAGACTGAAAATCTTCTAAGAAGTTTATAATATTCTTGCTTATTTATGAGAATATCTATCATTGATTTAAGACTGATTTTTTTCCGTGCAGAAATATAGCAATTAAAAGCTGTGACGTTGTAAAATGCAATTTGATTTCTTAATTATTGAAATAAGTATATTTATGCGTATGCACGGAAAAAATATCGTGCGAAAAATTACTACAAAATTTTGTGTTGGGCCATACCGAAATCACGATTGAAATTATATGTGTTGTAATATTTGATTTGTGATGTATTTCATGTGTACACATCACTGAAGATTACAACACATGTAATAATTTCAATCATAATTCCGGTATGGTTACAGCATTACAAAATTTTGTGGTAATTTTCACTACATTTTCGCCGTGTAGATCACTGTATATTTTTTTAATGCACGTGCCATCTTCCTCGTTTGAATTTGCAAAATAGTCCCGAGAATTCCTCTAATTACTCGAACTCAGCAAAATATAATAACTTCCTAGGACGATATCTTTGACTTTTAATTCGAGTAACATCCATCCAGAGTTCCTACCTTCGTAGACTTTCTTACGGATAAAGTGTATCTCGTGCGTAAAAAAAAAAAAAAAATCTAAAACGTGAATTCCGTTCTGTACTTCAGGATGCTCGCTCGCGACGGCGATGAGGAAGGTTAGGAGAAAAAAATTGAAAGGAAGAGAGAGAGAGAGAGAGAGAGAGAGGACGAATGAATATATATTAGATAGGTTGCGCGGCAATTCTACGTCCGGATAGCTCGCTTAAACTCGCCGCTAGCTCCTTCTAACCTAACCTAATCCAACCGGCAAGAAGAAGAAGAAGAAGAAGAAGCGTGCTCACCTACCTACCTACCTACCCATCTACCTGAGCGGCACCGCTCGTTGTAAGGAAAAGAAGGGCAGAGCAGAGTAGAGCTAAGCAGAACGGAGCAGAGCAAAGCAAGGTAGAGCAGGGTAAAGGGAGGGCGCGCGCGCTAAGGAGACCTTGAAGGCTGCTGGCCGGGTGCCCAGACCTAGTGCTGACCCACTATAAAGGCACTTGCTGTCCTGCTCGTACGCCAGGACGACTCGCTAGCACCCTCTCCCTCGGGAGAGAGCGCCTGCTAACCTACTACTCTCCTGCCCGCGCTCTTCGTTCTTCACCGCATATACATACACCGGCTCGGCTCGACTCGATTCCGAAACCCGCTTCCAGACCCCGGACCACGCGCGCGCGCTTAGAACTCTCCGAAACCGAGGGCCCTACGTTCGCCGTCTCGCTCCCTCCCGTCCTTCCTCGTTGCTTCTTTCTTCGCTCTCTCGTCTCCGTAGTAGTAGTATCCCCCGTGCTCCCTCGCTGCCTTCACGATCTCGTTTTCACTCCCTCTTTTCAGCCCTCTCCGCTCCCCTCCTCCCCCCCCCCCNCCCCCGGCCCCGCTTCATCCCTACGTGACCCTTCCCTGCCCTTCCCCGAACACCCCTCTCTCCTCTTCACGTCGTCACTACTACGTGTAACTCGCCCCTTCTGCGTAGTGTTTCTTCTTTGCTCTCGGTCTCTCTCTTTCGCTCCCTTCGGCCGATGCTCTCTTTCTTCATTCTTCTTTCTCTCTCTCTCTCTCTCTTTCTTACTCTCCGTCTCTCTCACACTCTCATTCTCTCTCCTTCTCTTCCTCTCGGTTCCTCTCCTTTTCCGTCGCTCTCTTTCATCTACTCTCCCAACACGAGCGCGTGAACGAAAGAACGAGAGGGCATACGTGTGCGTGTTTTGGAGGGAGTAGTACCATCTAGCATAGCAACTGCTGTTTCTGCATTTCTTCGCAGCGTGCCCCGAACGAGATGCCAGTATATTTTAGGCGTATAACGGGTGTCCCAGCGCCGAAGGGAAGCCCGGAGCTTTCCCGGAAGCTGGCGATCGTCCGCAAGCCTTTTAGCAGCCGCGACAGTTCCCATGATGAAACCTCAGATGTCAATGCGAACTCTACGTTTCGGCAATTTCGCACGCTTTATCCGATCTAACGCGTTTTCATCGTGCCGCACGAACCCGGGAATATCACCTGGGGTTATTTAGACGTTAATGAAAAAAAATCGCTATTATTAACCAAATTTAGCATATTATCGATCGCTTTACGATTTATTATTATTTAGAGACACTGTAAATATCGATTTATCCGCTACTTTTTGAAAACCAAAAAAATGAGGAGAAACCAAACAAATATTTAAGAAATAAACACATCAAGTGTTCGTGACCGTTTACATAAAAAAAATAAGGTGACTATTCGCGGATTAACGTTTTCACGAGAATGACGATATCTTGTTCAACGTTAAAGGTCAAAGATCGTTCGTCTAATATTGAAACAGTAAACAATAATATTTGACAATTTTCTAACAAATGTCTGACTTCTTTTCCCTCTCTCTCTCTCTCTCTCTCTTGTCTGATATCATAGTTACATCACCACAGTGCGACGATATTACTGTCGCTCATTTTATTATTCTCGTTGGTGTTGTTACGCGCGCGTTCCGTCAGACCCAAACACTTCTCAAGCCCACTTTAGCGAATACGACGGCGCAGTTAACCCCGCCGGTGCAATCTCGTCCCATCTTTACGGCACGTGAAATCGGGCGTAAAATGCGCGGCGTATTTAACGCGGCATAAGAATCGAATTAAAGCCTCGTCAGGACGTAGCCGCGGCTCTTCCCCCCCTCCCCTCCCTCTCTCACACCGTCTCTATATGTATCTTTCTCTCTTGTTCTCTTTTAGACCACCGAATTGGCTTTCGCATGAAACCTGTTGGTTACGCGGTCGAGCACACTCGTATACATAGGTACACTTACGAATATTATTATTGCGCGGGGCAGCTCGCGAGGGGAGACCTGACACGAGACATACTAAGTAGCCATTTAGATGCTACTCCTTTACTCCCGTTCGTCCACCTTTCGTTATTCTTCTCCTTCTTTCTCTCGTCGCCGGGTCAAAAATGGAGGGAGACACGCGAAAGCGCCATTTTTCTGCTACCTTATTCCCTCATTTCGTTTCATATTCGTATTTTTCATTCATTCGTATTTCCAACCTGGCTCGTCCAGCCGCACATCAGATATACCCTCTCGCTGTGCCGAGTCCAGCTAGTCTAATAGACCGTCCGCGAACGGGTTCGTTGCTCGACCCACGCGGTTATGCCGCGAGAAAGCGCGGTCTCGCCTGTAACTACGCAGAAAATCCGCTCGGCGAAGGAACTTCCGGAACAATGTTGCACGATCGCGCGTACAAATCACGCGTTCTGCATGTATTTACAATAGTAATCGTAAGAATGCGCCTCGCCCCGCCTAACCGATTGATCGTCTCTGCGTCGGTCCGTCAATTTACATGCCGCTTAATCGCTCGTATTCCATCCGAGGGAGAAGAATACAGGACGATACCTCGCGAAGAATAATACAACGGGAGCGGCGAGCGAAGCGATAGGTTCGATCTTTCTCGGCGCTCGCGCTCAATTAAAATTTCAACGAGCACATTCACGGGGAACTCCGCCGTGGCACTCAACGGGTCCACTTAACGAGCGCTACGTCAAACGGCCGGTCGTTTCTCGCCGGCGAGAATGATTCCGCGGATCTATTCTTCTCGCGGCGAGCGAGGCATCGGTCATGGGAGATTAGACGGGCCCGACCGGTAAAAACGACACCTGGCGCGTAGGAAAGCCAAGGAAAGGAAATACTTGTGTGCGCCGTGTGTACGGGCTACTCTTTTTTAATCTACCTCTCTTCCTTTCGCTTTCTCCTCTCTCTCTCTCTCCCTCTCTTTCTTCCTCGCCCTTTCTCCTATTTGGCCGCGAGCTACGAAATGTCCGGCACAGTTCACATAACCTCTTGATCCTGATTAGAATATGAGTGAGGTGTAGCTGCGATAGCTTCGGTCGGGTTAATGCCGCCGGCCGCGATTCTCGCGCCGTTACCGCACACGTGCGCGCACCGGAACCCGGAAGCGGCCGCGCGGAACCGGTGCGATGTCCGGCCGTGGGCTTTTCCATGGGAAAAGTCTCCCGTCTCTCTCTCCCGTTTCTTCCCCCGGGGTCGAGGCGACCGCGGCTCAAACAGGTTGTACACGCTGACCCAATGATCCAATTCCTCCGTTCGTTCCGACGCGCCTGAGAAAATCCCCGGCTTCGTCGGATTTTCCGCGCTCGCGGCTGGAAGCAGAAACGGAAAGAGCGGAATGCTCTTATCGTGAATCGGGAAGGGAGGAGAGTCTGTCTCGGATTCATCTTCAGGCTTAAACGTGAACGTCTTCAAATAGCCGGAATTATGGAGCGGATTTGTGACGATTTTGTAATTGGGAATCTTGGGTGTTTATCGCGCGACGACACGTGAAGTACGAGAAAGCGGCGGATGTCGAAACGATCGCCGTTAAATGACTCCGTAATTATTTGCGCCACGACAATGGGACAGGCAACCGTTACTTTCCTCGGTTCGGCTTCTGGTATATCTGAATAGCCGAAAGGTCACCCCGTACTATAACGAGGTCTGGTTCGCGAGATTGGTAATCGCTCTATTTACTGGCCACCGTTGTGTGCTGCGCGCCCATGAATTTTGCTCGCCTCTTTAAAGACACATCTAAAAACCTGCTCTTCGTTTTCGTTGCAGGATACACTTACCTCGGATCTTCGCTCGTGGTGGAGCCGTCAGTGGCCAGCGGAGCCAAGAAACGGTGAGTCTCTCACTGTCCTGCGTTCCAAGGTGTCGAGAGGGCATGGCTTTCGCATGCTTCAAAATGACTCTTACACGAACGAAATAATCAAGCGATGGAAATCGATCGTTTCAACGCTTCCTTGACTCGCGCGCATCGCGAGAGAAATCATTCGCGTAAGAGAAGATGCCAAATACTGATTCGCACTGGTCAACAAATTTCGCATCGTAAACTGCGTACTTTTTGAATTTTAATCTCCTCTACTTGTCTTTATATGTTGGAACAGAAATTGACAATAAGAAAAATTAATCAGTTACAACTTAGGAAACATAGGCTGCATTTCAGTTTTCGTAAATTAATAGCACGAGTTATGAAAGTAAAACAACATAGTGCACAAAAACCTGTGTTAAATTCAGTTCACATTTTTCACACCGTCCCGAACGGCCTAAATTTTTCGCTTACTTTCACGCAAGGTGAATACGTTGAGAAGTAACGCAAAACGTCACGTCAAAAACTGACATAAAATTAACGCCAATTTACGTCCCGGGCATAATTTCTGCGTTGGCCAGTGTTATCGTTCAACTCGCAAGCTTGATTTTTCCCCCGATGCAAGAATCATACGCATGGCGGGCGATCGTGTCGCACGCACCCCGGCGGAAAGGGAGAAACGAATTTCTCGCCGGTTGGTGCGTCGAACTCGCGCGTTTGCAGCGGCGTAGCTCTCGATCGACGATTAACGCATTCGCAATCATCGCGCTCTAACCGCATCGGGGACAGGCGCTCCTCCGAGATCCTCTCTCGTTTCACTCCCCTCTTCTCGTATCATGCGAGAAGTCGAAATCGTCTCTGCGCGAATCAACGTTATCGCGCCTGATTTGTCGAGGCACCCTCTGTGATCGCCGGTGACGGCGTCGCGTGCGGCAACGAAAAATTCCGATCGCGTGTCGCGCGATCGCGTGCTCATTACGCGGCCGTTTAGAATCGCGGTAATGCGGATCTCGTGTCGCGTTCCCTTGTCCGCTTTCTCGGGCAAATTAATATAAAACGCGGTGCGCGCGCTTGTACGTCTCGCGCGGCCGCTTAACTGATCGCCGTAATTTCGCGCAGCGTGTCGCAGGAAGCGTCCTCTCGCGGTGGTTTCTTATTTATTAAGAGCCGCGATCGGCATCGAGCATTATCGAAATTATTCGGCCGTTACGTCCGGGTGGGCTACCGGGCGTCCTCGCTGATTCGCGCGTGCCGTTCGCATCGTCGTCGTCTGCTCCTCGCATCTCAGCCGTCTCTCTTTCACTATCGCGCGCGCGCGTTCTCCTCACGTTCCTCGCGAGCGCAGGCGGGACTTCAAAAGGAGTTCGTTAACCCGGGGGCCCCGTCGCAGCACGCGGGCGCGATCGCAGCGGAGATCGCGCGTAATACCGCGCGTAACAAGGTGCGTAATTGGCCGCACGCGAGTAAATGCGCGCGCGCGCGCATGCAGAAGAGTTTGGACTCGTGCCCGGACGTGCCCGGGCAAAAATCGCCCGGGATTAAATCGGCCCGACTCAGTGGAACTCATTCCCGCCCGCGAGTTCCTCGCGGAACTCGCGCTCTCTTTCTCGACGGCCTCGGAGACGAGCTCGCGACGCGTTTGCTTCTCGACTGGTAGGACTGGCTCGTCGATTCGGGAATGGATCGGGCTGGTGCAAAAGTTCCCTCCGTTTCTCAATCGTTCGTCGCTGAGGAATTCCCGAATCTCCACGGGCGCGAAATCACGCGGCCGCCGAAGAGATGCCGGATTATTGAACACATTCTTGATTGATTTTAAGACAAATAAATGCCTTATGTATGTTTTGATGAAGAAACGGAAAGAACCTTTGCATCAACCCGATACTTGAATATCAAAACCGCGGATGGGTCGTTTTTCGCTCTATTACTGTTGCTTAATTATTTACCGTCGTTTGTTATTTCAACGAACCATTGCCAAGCCAATGCGGGTTTTGTTGGAGCAGCAAATTAAAAATACAAATTATTTGCTCCCGCTGCGGAGTCATTTGTCGTCCCATACTCACGAACCATTTGTTGCGGGTATCTCGTTAAATTAAAACAAAGTTTTGCTCTCAGTACGTTATTGTTCAACCGTTTTATGATAAAGAAAGGGTTTCCCAATGATGAAAAATCCAAAGAAATGGGTAGAATAGAATCTACAAATGGGTCGAAAGTGACCCAGCTGCGGTTCTAGTTAGCTAAGATACATTCCGAACGGTATACTTTTGGGATGTTTGTTTTCTTTGTGTCCCGTTTTTCAAGATATAAATTCTATCCTGAGACGAAAAATAATCATTTTTGGTAGATAACATAGCAGAGACTTTTTGGTAGATAGCGTTGTGTATCGTGTTATCGTGCATGAAAAATATTTAGAGCACTATTTACATTCACTATTTACTCGCTATTTACACTCATGTTCTCTCTTTCTCTCTACATGCTCACGTGTATACGGATCGATGGTACGTATCTTCATTGTAAATAGCAGCGGGATTCCATAACGATATGCCGAATAACGATAACAAAACGCAGCGATACCGTCGTCGATATCGACGTCGTAAAACGCTCTCGATACCCTCTTCCGTCGTAAAAATGATTTTTTGTAACAGCGAGAATACAATCGCACTCTCCTCGCGGCTACTCAGTATGCGCAATCGAACGCTCGTTTGACGACCTCGTAATAACGGTGATCAGACATAAACCCTCTCGTTACCGTCGAGTAACTTACGTCGTTACCTACGTCGTCACCGATATAAACGATACGTTAAATTTCGAGTAACAAGTTTCCGTTGAACTTTCCCTCTCTTATTTCTGGTCATTGCGACTTACGAAACACGCAATACGAAATTTAGACTCCATTTCAAATATCAGTCTTATAAAATTCTTATCATATTCAGGAGCAACCATAGTTGAATTATCGAAAATATTACGATATTCGTGAAATCCCCCCCCCCTCCCCCTTTTTCCCCACTCGCTCGCGAAAAGCCGGCTCGTTTCGCTCAATAACACTCGGCGTCGGGATGGTTAACCCAAATATTCTCGTGACGCCTTCGCGTTTTTGCGCGTCGACGTTTGGGAGCCTCTGCACGACACAGAGGCAGCCTCTTTCCCGACGGTGAGGCAGGCAATTCGAAAAAAAATGTGGCACCTGCCTTCTGCTCGCGAGCTCCAAGTCGAGAGAGCAGCCCAGGCTGCTCGCTCGCTCGCTCGCTCGTGCTATAACAGCAATCTGTTATTTTACCATCCCCCGGACTCGCGCGCACACTTTCAGTTTCTCTTTCCATCCTCTCATCCCTTACATGCCATCGGCCATCTCCTCTCCCACCTCGTCCTCCTCCTCGTCCTCGTTCATGCTCGGAACAGTCTTATCGATGCCTCGGAAACGTGCCGTCGCATAAAACGAGGATTTGGCTCGGACGGCCGAGCCGATACGCGGCCGAAGATAACGCCAATTAGAGAAGAAGAACGTATGATGAATTATTACGTCGATTATGGCCGATAATAAGAGCGCACACGTGTACAGTTTTCCTAATACGTTTATTAAGTTTCACACATTTCGAGCTCCGGCGTACCCCACAAAGCGCGGGGTCTTACCTTCATTCTCTCCTTTTTCCTTTTTTATTTGACGGAGCGGGGTGTGTTTATACTATGCCCGTAGAATTGTTTTAGTACAGCAATATTGAGCGAAATGAGAAAATGCCGGGCTTGGTTTGATCCTAATGTATATATCTGGGGTCGAGCTTTCAATGTGACATCTTTACAGTCCGAGGTGGTTAGGGGAAGGATTAAAGAGTTTCGGCGCGAATGAACGCTTCAGTGACGAATAAGAACCGAAATTACACACACGTTGAATAATCGCGCGGGGTCGATGAAAATGAGCTATTTGTTCGGCGAATTTTAACTCGCTTCAATTCCCATTAAGGAAATATTTTAGTCCAGACACCCGTTTTCAAGATGATTTTTGAAAATTAAAATAAGAAAAACTATCGAAGCTGTAGAACTGGGGTTTTGCATAGGTATTTATTATTTACATTTTAAGCAACGTTCCACATTTTTGTAAATCAATGTTATTAAAAATGATACAAACTGGAGATCGGCAAGCCTTGCCGCTAAAAATGCGTTCAATCGAACGTATTGATTGCAGCCGCCCCAATTACCCGAAATAAACATATGAGCACTTTTTCTGGTCTACATGAGTGTAGCGAAAACGTTACGAAAATTGTGCAATGCTGGACGATACCAGAATTATGACTGCGATTACGATACGTGTTGTAATCTTTCATGATGTATACCGTGCGTGCTACATTACAGATTACAGCGCGCATAATAATTCTGATAATAATTCCGGTATAATCCAGCATTACAAACTTTCCGTCGTAACTCGAAAACTCGTGGTTTTTAACGCGACATTTTCTCCATGTTCATCTCTCGGCGTACATTTGTCCCATCGATCGCACGTCCCGCTTTAACGACTGCCAAATGCGCACGGGTGCGAATTAAACGGCCGTGCCGGCGGAATTTCAATATGAAAAGCGCACAGATAACACAACGATATTCGCACGATCGCTCGCGATCGTTATTATTACGCGCGCTGTGGGAGATCGTTATTCAAGAATGGACAAGCAAGCGGATGCCCAGTGAGAGGCAGAGCGCAAGAAAGAGAAGGAGAGAGAAGGAGAGGAAGAAAGAGAGAGAGAGAGAGAGGGAGAAGTAGAAGTTTATTATACACTCTATAGAAAGAGACGGAGATAGGGAAACGGGTATCACTTCCGAGTTGTCTTCTGCAATGCGCGTCCCGGCAGAAGACACGACGCTTGGCGGCTTCCAGCGGCGAAAGGAGCGAGCGAGCGAGCTCCGCCGTTTTTTGATGTTTAGGAGCCGATGCATGGCTAAACATTCATTTCCATATAAGCCGATATGTTTCAAATGTAAAGCGGCGTCCGCGCGCGCACACCGGCGAGAGTGGAGAAAGAAAGGACGAGGTGGGTAAACGAGGTGCG